TATCACAGGACATCAGGGAGAAGAGCTTTCATCAGTCACTGACCCTGCCTCACCACAGAACAGGTCATCCAAGGGCTTTTTTAATGGCTCATCATATACAACACACAAGCTCAACATACAGGCTAGGAATTGTTATGCTTTGTTTTGTTTTGAGATTAAAAAAGAAAAAAAAACCTAAACCACTGAAAAACAACTGACAGGTCTCAGTTTTAACGTTTGAAAGCACATCACTGTAACAAAGACGCAGGCCCATTCCTTGCCTGCAGCAGGATTGTTTGGGTAGGAAATCAGACTGGAATAAATCACCTCCATGTATAAAACTAACTTCAGTTATTTGCAAGATCTAAGCTGAAGCGGTGAAATTCTCATTTCTGTCCTGCCCAGGTGAACATTTATACCCCCATGGCACTTTGAGGAATTCCCTTTCATCAGCAGATAGCTTTCATTGGTAATGCTGCAGTCACGCACATGTAAATATTTTATTTTCTTCATTAATACTGCAGATAGAAATCGACATCCTCCTTTCCCCATAGAGCAGGGATATTAACAGGCAACATACATTTGAACCTCTCCAGATATATACCTCTCCAGTTGAATGGCAAAAGGGATATCCCACAGCACCAGAAGAAAGCCTGGACAATGGTAGAGGCTGGATTCATGTGCACCTCTGTTTCAGAGAATAAGTTATAAAGCCATAGGTATGTGAGGTCTTAAGTTTAGAGCCCATTACCCTTTCTTCCAGTTTAAACTGCATTTAGATTAAAGCAATTTAGCTTGAGACAGGATTTCTTGCTAGGACAGGAACAAGAATTAAATGTATCTATTTCCTGTTTCTTTCAGCACTTTTGCACTCCTGAAGAGAAATTGCTGTCTCTATAGCACAGCAATTCTTCACATTCTCAGTTTAGCTGCACATGGCCATGTAAGAATCAAGTATAAAAATGAATTATTTAAAATATTAAAGACTATATATAGCAGTATTCGAGGGTCTTAATACCTTTTAACACACACACACACTCCCCCAGAGAACAGCAACGTTATTTAAAGTCCTGCACAAAGATAGGACTTGCACTGAAATCAGTTTGTTTGTTTGACTGGTGTTCTATAACAATGTTAGCTGCTAGCCTTGATATTTAAGGACATTTTTTTCATGTATTTGCTCAGAGATTGCACTTCCCAGCTCTCCTCACTGCAATTTGTTTTGTTAGTGTCATCAGCAGTTGTTGAAACTTGCATACAGGGTGAAAAAACTGTTTGCTTTAAAGGTAGTTCTCTAACGGAAGCGTAACTTTCTTGCTTTGGGGTTTCAGTATTCTATGCAAGTCTCTGTTGAATAGTTTTGAACTTGCACATGCATGAGCAACACAAAATCAGCATCAGGGTTATGACCTGGGAGACACATGTGGGTTGCTTTCCTAAAGCAAGTACTATTTCCCAACTCATTACTTCCCCTGTAACTCTAAATAATTAAGAGAATATACCTGTTTCATGGGAATAGCTGTTATCAAGTGCCAACTCGAAAGGCCTCCACAGCTTACTGCACGCCAGACAGTGTGCTACAAACCATACTGCTTTGATTTTCTCTGTGTGTGTGGAAATGTTTGGCTCAGAAACATAAAAACATAGAGTGGCATGCACCAAAACTGTATGTCTTCAGTACCTTCACTTGTAAATTAGTTTTACAGCTGTAAATTAAAGGGGTTCAAAGGCTTTTGCGCATTTGCTAATAAATTCCACTCACAAAATCATTTTTTCCTCTGCCTTACAGAACTTTCCCATGTGCTTTCGCATGATACACCTGTTCTCATGTGGGCATATACTTAGTCCTGTGATAAAACATTCTTTCAGCACAGAATAATTGTCATATTTCTCTCATTCATCTTGATTACTCAGTAAATCCCTTGGAGCAACAAACGGGTCTCACACAGCAAGGCACATTTCAATATTTTGAGCAACATCTGACCACAGCAAGTTGAGAAATTTCCATTCAGTATGAATGCCCATAAGAAACACTGTACTGTAAATAAAGAAATAAATTATACTGTTCCTAATTCTGTGTGATGCATGTGGTACACAATGTGCAATAGAATAGTTAAAAGCACATACATGTGAAGCACAGTGTTATTCACCATACTATTTGGAATGGTTATACTAACTTGTTTGTGACCCAGACACAACAAATGTGAAACAACAAATTAAAAGCCAGCAGCTGCAGATGTTGGTTTTCACTCAGTTGTGTAAGACTAATATAGCAAGATGTAATCCTGTATGAATAAATAGCAAATGCGTGAAGGTGACTGAATGAAGCAAACCCTTTGTTTTCTAAAACAGTATCTCCTCATTCTCTATTGCACTATTTGTCTTATGCACAGTTCAAGGCAGCAGTAAGCACCCTTCCTTCCCTTCAGAAAAAGATTATTCAGGTTTTGGAAGATCTCTTAATCCACTAGTGCTATGGGTTTAACTGGGAAAACAATGACTGCAGTCTGGTCCATAGCTGTGAGACAAAGAGGGTACCATCGTGGCAGAGCTGTCCCACAGGAGTTCTGTGCTGTGAATACCCCTGCATATATCTTTAGTGGGATATCGTTAGAATATTTTAACACAGAGACTGAGGTTTGCAGTCTACTGTTGGTAGTTATAAAAAAGATAACCAGAAGTTCAGCCAACTTGACCCATGTGAGGCATATACCAGCAGAACACATCCCAGAAATAGGCAGATAAATACAGAGTGGACCATATTGATTATCTTCACATATTTATACTGCCTACATTGGGTCTGAATCACATTCTTATTCGCTATGAGGAGTGTAGGGACATCAGCCAACCTGTATAATAGGCACTAACAAGATCAAGTATTCTGAACATACTGTTCTCCTCCCACGTGAACCTGAACTCCATTCTGTTTCACTGTGTCTGGTTAGGATGATGTGCTGAACATACACAACATCAGTGTGCTGTATAAAATAAACCTCAAAGCTACGGAAAGGAAATGAATCTTTAAGCAGCCTGGACAGTTTATAGGGCTCTTAGGTCACTCTATACACCAGAAATTTCTGCATCTCAATTGGCAAAGACATCTCTGCAGCCAGCTGAGTTCCATAGGCTACAAAGTTATGCTCCATATTGGGGTCTGGGAATATGTTTTTTTCCTTACTGCTGGCCTCAACTTAGCCAAGCCAGCCACCCATGTTCCCTGCTGTAATCAGTGATTACCAAGGGTCTATGCAATATTTGCACAAAGGACATAAGCAGACTGTCTTTGAAGACACAACTCCTTAATGACAGGAGGCAAAAGGACACATCATAAATATGGATATTGTTTTTTGAAATAGGTAGAGTAATGCATTCATACTTGAGCAAGCATATGAAAGACATCAGCAGTGCACAGATACTGTCCAGGTCCTCTGCACAGAAATGAGTTTACAAGGAAGAGAAATGCATTTCTTTAAGCGGTTTTAATTTGGGGTGGTTTAATTGTTGGATGCGCTATTTTAGAGGCAGAAGTACTGTTTCAGTTTCAGAAGTTCTAAGTACATAACACCCCCATGACCGCCACACCCTTTGTAGTTAGTGGAGTTATAGTAGCATAGGAGAGATCAGGAATACAGACAGAACGTATGTTTGTTTGAGTCTCATTAAGTGAGGACAAATTCTAAAGAAAAGGGATTATAGTCTTTTCCAAAAATACAAGAGAAAAGGGAAGAAATCAGTGCAGTTGAAATCATGATTTTATAAATGTTAACATCCTAAACTTGTCTTTATATCCAACTAAACATCATATGTTGCACAGCAATAAGACCTATGTTTTGTGGAACAGGAAATCAGTAAAACAGTTTTCTATCAGACATTACACCTGCTAGTGCCTCAGGACACACAGACTGACCAATGCCAGTGAGGCTGATGTGTGACAATCATAGGCAAATGGGATGCTGAATTATTGCTTCTCATTAAAATGGGATTCCCTAATCACATTTTTTTGGCCTAAAGTGCTTGGATTCTGAAAAAACCTTAGTGATAGCAATGCTCTAGCAAGCCTGAGTGACAAATCAAGCAACTGCTCAACTCCCAGACCACCTTTAAGCTCAAATTAAGTATATGTCATTCCCTGTATGGTGAAAAGCGGAGACACAGGTATCTTTGCACTAGTCTACAACCACTCTGGATCCCCTGCTTGTCTTTTGAATGAAGACAATTTCAGCCCTCATGAAATAAGTACAAAAAAGATGGATTTAGAGTCAAACCTGCTGTTAGGTGGAAGCTTGACTTAGTCTCATTTATCTTTTATTCATGTCATGAAATCAACAAACAATTGGGTACAATTCACCCAAGTACTTAAAATATTTTTGCTTGACAAGTAACCTGTGCATTTCATATATACTAATCATAATCCCTTCTTAATCTGGCAAGAGGTGGATCCTTTGGCATACTGAAATGTAATATTATTGTAGAGCTATTTGCCCATTCCCTGGTGATTGAACCTGCAGCATTCAGAATTTAACTATGGAAGTGGAATTCTTGCCTTTCAGGGTTTATTTACAGATTTTGCCAGGTGAATGTGTAACCTGTGAACTATAATTAGGGATTCCCAGCTGTTACCAGAAAGCCTGGAATTCACATCTTGCAATCTTTGAACACATTTAAAAATCACTACTGGCAATCCCAAAACTTTATTAAACTACCAGGGATGGAATAGCATAAGTTTAAAGTTGTATTAACCCTTTAGTCACTACAATTGTAGCATACATGTATTTATTACATACCAGGTACTGCTTGTTTCCCAGCACGTAACAGCAGAGCCCAGCACTTGCCTTTAGTGAGGTGGTCTCCTCTATCCTGACAGAGGGTCTCATTAGCTTTGCCACAACATTGTCTGCATGTTATCCCTGCTTCTGCTTCTACAACTGATACAGATTATACAAACTTACTTCTCTTTGGTGTAGAGCACCTGAAGTATGTAGGAACACAATATAGTTACGTCCACACGGGTTACTTATTAACTGGTGTTCCATGGTTTATCTAAGTAACTGATAATTTCCATTTCTTAGAGATTACTGACTCCTTTTCTTATTCTTTTCAGCTGTTGTAGAGCAAGAGATGAAAAAGGATTGGCTCTTTGCACCTCACTATCGATACTATGTACGGGAAATGAGAATTCATGCCTATAGCCAGCTCCTAGAGTCCTACCGATCACTGACATTAGGATACATGGCAGAAGCATTTGGAGTCAGTGTAGAATTCATAGATCAGTAAGTCATTTGTCTTTTTAAGTTCATAAATATCTCATTTTACACCTTTGAATTATTTATAATGATCCGATAATGAATAAAACCTTCGTTCTGCTTTGATTCTAACCCCGCCAAGTTAAGTTCCTGTGCGTGAGCTTGGCTAAAATTAAGCAAACCTTATGTTTCAGTAAAGAAAATGTTTTTAGTGCAATCTATGCCAAAACTTTACTCATAACTTTGGGGATCCACACATTTTACATACCCTACACGTCTCCTTATCTACTACTTGTTTTCAAGTACATAGACTGGATCTGATGTTTTTCATTTCAAACATACTCTGCAGTCTCAACTTGCAATTCTTTTCTAGTGTAAAACCAACAGATTTAGATCAGGATGAGAACTAAAGGGAAGTGCAAAATTGACTTTGTATACAGGAAACTTTGATTCAAATGCCTTCACTAGAATCATTCCTTCATAGAGAAGCTACATAGAACAGTGTTAAAGAAATGTGAATACTACTTGAAATGCTCAGAAATTAATTAATAGGTGTTTCAAGAGAAACCAAATACCTTCAATACAAATGCTTCCCAGTAATTTATTACTAGCTGCAACTTGTCTTACTGTTGATCACAGGAATTTTTTCTTCTGCCATCAGTAATGTGCTGTAGAACACCAAATGATTAAGCAAAAGAGTAATTAAAACAAGCAGCGTATTTGGAGCTACTACAAAGTAGGGAACTGTTCAGAGGCTTTCCTAAGGAGCTGATTGAATGGATTGAAGATACTTGCCACAGAATAAATTACAAGTAGGCACACTGCACTGCTGCTACCTTTGCACTCGAAGAGTAGCTGATGATAAACTAAGTGATAAATTTCACTCACTCAGCTATGACCCTTTGGCTTGAGAAGAAGGTACTACGATGTTTTGTGTTCAGATCACTAGAATTCTTGTATGTAATGTCCAAGCTTTAGTAAGATGAGGAGGAAGAAGATATCTTATGTAGGTATATAGGCTGTTGCCTCAGAAACACAGTGTGTTGACACGGCTGTTCTGTAACAGCAGGTTCAGCGCTGCTGGGTCTGCAAGTCCTTGCTGAAACATCTTTTAACCAACTTGCTTTTTCTTTTCTTTACCTAGGGAGCTTTCAAGATTCATTGCAGCAGGGCGATTACACTGCAAAATAGACAAAGTCAATGAGATTGTAGAAACCAACAGGTATGCTGACAGTTCCTGACAGCCCACTTGCATTCTAGACATTTGAGTCCTAGACATTTATTACAGAAATGCAAGCGGCTTTGTGTAAAATATGTTCTCACTTCTCTCTTTTCTTTTCTCCCTCACAATTCCTAGGCCTGATAGCAAGAATTGGCAGTACCAAGAAACCATCAAGAAAGGAGATTTGCTGCTAAACAGAGTTCAGAAACTTTCCAGAGTAATTAATATGTAATTTTTTTAATGCAAGGGAATGCAAACTTTAGGTGTTTAAAACATTTTGGAAGTAACCTATAAATACATTGTATAACTTGCTATACTGTGGGTTAAAAAAGACATTACTAGCCAGAGAGGTAGTGTTTTCACTTTCCGTTTCATTCTGTAAAACAATATTCTGTTTTGGTGTATGGATCCTGGTTCAGTTATTAAATGTATGATACAGTTGGTGATCTCCTGTAATGATCTCCTGTTTCTTGACCTCACTGTGTATACAGTGGTCAAAGATCTGTGAGCAGGAAGAACTAGTGGTGGTTCTGTGCTTGCTTTCTGAAGACTTCTGTGTTTTAATCCAAGGTGAAAAGGATCAGCTATATAATAGTAAAGTAGCAAAAAAGTTCAGTTGAGATTGTGCACTCTTGGCAGGACAAACTCCTGTTAGGAGAGGATTGGAGAAGGAGTAAGAATACAAGTGGTTGTGGTGAAGCTGTAATATAACCACAAAACCTGTAAGGACTGTAACTTTGGGAACACCTTTACCTGAAGTAGTCTCTCCAGTAAGATTACACTTTTGCTAGCTGTTGAAAACAAAGTCAGCACATTAGCAAAGCATTACACATGTAATTCCTTCCTCTGTTAGATGTCAAATTGATGGTAGGAGCAGTAGAAGATCCCATTGCAGTTCAACACAACTGAGCCTACAGCAGCAACTGCTCCCCACCTGGCTTGGCTTGAGGTTTCTTTTCCCAAAGCAAGTCTGTGACTTAGTTCTGTTTGATGCCACTGTACTTTGGAACGCAAGACAACGAGGCTAACAGGCTTCACTGACTTAGGAGAAGTCTTGCTGCTCTTTTAGTGGTCAGGCCTTGGACTGATCAAAAGCACATTTTTCATATTCTTCCATTTTTAACCGCTACTTCAATTTCCATGTCAAATCAGAAGCAATGAGATTTCTGCTCCCTTTAAACCTTGAAATAGCTTCAATTTAGCTTTCACCAACCCATGGTCATGTTGGTTTTACCACTGGTTTATTTCCTCTCACGATTTCCATTTACTTCACTGTGATTGTGAGCAGCGCTCCAGACACAGCCGTTCATGCCTCGGTCCCGCCACCCTTCCATGGATTTGTAGTCCACGTGCCAGAGTTGTACATTCCCTCTCACAGTTTAAGCTCATGCGGTCCCGTGAACTAATGCCATTCTCCAGTTTCACTTTGCAAAGCTCACTTCAGATGAGGTGGCCTCAACGTTAACAGGCACCAGCTTCACACCCCTGCATCCAGAGCTGTATGTGCTGTGGGTACAGGACTGAGATTTAGGTTGCAACCTTTGAGCCCAACACAGCAGAAGGCAGCTGATGCCTTCAGGTTCGAAGGATACAGCCCCAACTTCCATTTTAAATGCAAAGGGCCCTGGAAATAGGGTGTGCACCCCAAGAACCTCTGACATTCGAGTCTGCGTTGCAGGCCCTGGTCTCAAACTCCTGCATCACCAAGTAACTCTTCCCGATACAAACTGGAGTATTTTCCTATGAGACAATCAGGGCCAAGACAGAAACTGTTTCTGTTCGTGTGAGTGAAACCCATGTTCAACAGGTTCTGCTCCAGCACAGCATCAGAAGGCACTTCTCATGACAAACCCCTTTTCTGTACCAGTTGAGTCACTGGGAGATGACCCCCTCCAAGCAGCTCCACTCTGAGGTTGGTGGTAGGACACCCCAAACCTGCCAAGCTCTGTGGAACCTCAAAGAGCTCAAGGTTCTATAGGATAAACACACCTTTTCCCCTCTCTTTCTCCACCATTCAAATTACACTTGTGACTGGTGCTATCCCAGCGTGGAAGCTCTGCCCCAGGGGCTTCATCGGACTGTGGATTTCACTCCAATTTCTCTTTGTGGCATTATCACTTTGGTTCCTTTCACATTATCCCAATTGCAGTTGTAACAATCCTTTCAACAGGGCATCCTATTAAATACAAATCCTTTTGTTCCTGAAAAGTTGTCTATATTTAAGTTTGCATAATAATTGTCTCTAAGTACATTGCTTTCTCAAATGTGATGTTTTGTATCAATTCAAAGCTAAAGTGTCTGCATAGAGGCTTCTTGTTGTTTTGCTATAACAATGATTTTGTAGCAAGTTCAGTTTAAACTGAGAGCATCCTTAGGTAAACAACTACAGAACTGCTGCTCAGAGTGGCTGTGGATTCCCTGATGTACTTCCTACTTGCCACCAGAACTAAATTTTAAAATGGGATCTTATATATTCAGGAGATCTGCTTCCTTTAGAGTAAATCTATTTCCTCTATTGACTAAAAAAGTTTCTATCTTATTTATAACATTTCATCTCATTATTAAAATGAAAATGAACATGAGCTGGCTTCAGTGTGTGCTCACAGCCCAGAAAGCCAACCATATCCTGGGCTGCATCAAAAGGAGCGTGACCAGCAGGTCGAAGGAAGTGATCCTGCCCCTTTACTCTGTTATCGTGAGACCTCACCTGGAGTATTGTGTGCAGTTCTGGTGTCCTCAACATGAAAAGGACATGGAACTGTTGGAACAAGTCCAGAGAAGGGCCACGAGGATGATCAGGGGACTGGAGCACCTCCTGTATGAAGACAGGCTGAGGAAGTTGGGGCTGTTCAGCCTGGAGAAGAGAAGGCTGCGTGGAGACCTCATAGCAGCCTTCCAGTATCTGAAGGGGGGCTATAGGGATGCTGGGGAGGGACTCTTCATTAGGGACTGTAGTTATAGGACAAGGGGTAACGGGTTAAAACTTAAACAGGGGAAGTTTAGATTGGATATAAGGAAGAAGTTCTTTACTGTAAGGGTGGTGAGGCACTGGAATGGGTTGCCCAGGGAAGTTGTGAATGCTCCATCCCTGGTGGTGTTCAAAGCCAGGTTGGACAGAGCCTTGGGTGAGATGGTTTAGTGTGAGGAGTCCCTGCCCATGGCAGGGGGGTTGGAACTAGATGATCTTAAGGTCCTTTCCGACCCTAACTATTCTATGATTCTATTACAAAGAAGTTAGTCAATGACACCTTGGGATAATAGGCTTATTTTATCACATTATCACAGTTCTGTTATCAGCAACATTATGTTCCACTTTGTAGAATGTTTATAACTGACACAGAAACAACAAGTCAAATTGATCCTCAGTGTTTTGTGTTCTGATTTCTTTTGGACTGATTTCTTTTGGACTCTGAGGAAGTGTTCTGCAAGCATACTTCTTTAGCACATTTATTTTACAAGTACAGCTAAACCTTCACTGCCTACTAGGCAACACAATGATTTTCTTAAAATCCAGGGAAAACCCCCAAACATATCCACTACAAAACAACCCCTAAAACTCCCTCAAGTAATTCGTTTGCAAGTTCAGAGCCAGTGAGAAACCAAGGTTAAGTTTTACTGGGAACATACAGCAGCTGGTTGAGGATGATGACCTGAATATTGACAATCTAGTTTTTCAACAGGCTCTTCTTTTTCATCACATTCGCCCTCATCACTGGATAACCGAGATGCTGGCTCAGCTGCAGGCAAGGGACTTGTGGATGGAAGGAGACTCACTAGGGGCATTTCTACTGTTCTGGGCTAGGCAGCCTGGAGTCCTAGGCAAGGCAAGCAGGAAAGGTGTTATTGACCTAAATCTAGTTAAAAATTCCAAGCTTAAATGCTTACTACGACCAACAGAAGGAAATCTACATTAACAGATCTCTGGTATTTTCCAGAGTCTCGTAATACATCCACCGAGAGGAAGGACAGGTGGTCTGGTACCCCTGGAAAAGCAGCATTGCCCAACCATTGCTGAACTGTCAGCAGTCAGCTGACACTACTTTTACTATTTCAAACACCAAACCCTCCTTGCTAGGAGTTACAGCCCAGCATGTAATTGCTAATTGTACAGTCACCAGGCCTAGAGTAAGAATTCTGCCCTGTCCAACAGATCTGTATCACTCTTTCAAAATGCCCCTGATGAAGCTACCAGGATTAATTTCACACCACGGGATCTGCAGATTTTCCTTATCTTGGAAGACTGAGGTTTGGGTTTGTCAGGTAATAAAGGCTTTGATTCTGTAAGAGTAACTCCATGAGAATTTTGGTGCAGCTCCCGGGAAGTTTTAGTAGGTGAGGGATGTGGTTCCCTGAGAGGGGGCATCTGCTGATGGTGATCCGAATGTCAAAGAAGTTCCTTTTCCCTGGCTTTGCTTTCGTGCTCAGCTAATAACACTGGGATCCATCATTTCCTTTGACCCTGTACAGCCCTCTGCTGGGTTAAGGCATGTGTCTGCAAAACCATGAATAACTCATTAATTCCAGGCTATTAGATTTGTGGAAATCAGACACTCAAAGCATGTGTCTAGAGCTCTGAAACAGAGAAAATTGTCACACTCATGGTTTAGTAAATAAATGGAAGAATCACAGAAACCAAAGTAAGATTGCTGTGTGGACGATATCCCTGTTTGATAAAAGTAAAAGGCTTCTTTCAAATTTCTGTCTAAAGAGGAAGCTGCCAAAGTTCTTCTCAGGTTAAGACTAGAACCAAAAATGTTTTTCACATTGGTATTTTAACTGCCACCTACTGCACAACCAAACATACTGAGCATGTACTTTCACTTCCAAGATATTTAACACAACAATGTTTTAAATTAGACTTCTAATGAAAGACACGACAAGTATTTGTAAAAATACTTTGCTTCCTTCTGTATAATACTGTACCCCTTAAAAACTAATGCTATCAAATAGATACGAAGGAATGCGAAACAACAGAGCAGAATACAGAGTCGGACAGAATTCAAAGTCCTCTGAGTATCCTGAATGCCACATGTAGTATATGTGTTTATATGACACGAATTCTAGGTAAAGAGAAAGACATGGACGTTATTTTTCTGAATTGTTAATTCACATACAATACTTTTTTTTTATGATATAAAAGTTTTTTATTGGCTCAATTTTCGTAGGTAAAAATTACCATCATGTAACTCAGACACAAATAGCTATTCCAACAGGAGTAATGTCAGTAGGTGTAACGTATGAAATTGCTGAGAAGCATTTTTTCTTCATTTCTACTTCACTTTTTTGATTCGCCTAGTTCTCTTGTAAAATCTTGAATCTTTTCCCTCCTTTAGTAGCAAAACAATTGCCTCCCCCTGTAATTCCAAAAGGGCAATGTGTTCAAGTTCAGCTCCTCTGGGACATCAGGACCAGCTTTATTTACCTTTGTTCTGTAGATGGTTTATTTACCAGACAATTCCTCTACTGACAGTTCAGCTGCTTTGAACAGTAGCTGCTATTACACAGTTGTAGGGATCTGGATTTTTGATTCTCTGGGGCTGATACCTCTCCACATCTGACTCCCCAAGATTTTTGAGCCAGAGGACACATTTCATCTGACCAAAAGGATTTGATGGGTTGTTTAATTTAGAGTTACTAACTCTAAAACTCGTTTCTGGGTTGGCTGTAGTGGTACATCAGGCAGCACGAGCATTTACACAAATACCTCCTAAGTACCTGCTGCAGACGCTGCTGGAGGGAAAGCAGAGGAGCTTGATTTATTTAAATCCTGCATAAAAAAATACTGATAATGCTCATGAGGAATTTTAAAATTCATCATTTATTACCCAAAAGATATCCCCAAAAAGATCAGGCTGGCCCACTGCTAGCTACACAAAAAGGAACGTAATCTGCCCCATGTCAATATCCGCGTTTAAAAGGATTATACAAAAATACAAAGCTCTGAGTTACTTGACGAAATAAGTCTTTGAATAAATCATTAACTGAACTTCAAAACCAATTCCGTCTTGGTTTTGGGGAACATGTTTTCAGAGGAGACATTTACAGTGGTAATTACAGACAGAAGAAATCTGGAGTTTTCCAATTTCTTTCATGTTCAGCAGCTTGCGGCCTCTCCACAGGACTGTCAGGAAGAGGCTATTGGCCAGGGTGGATTCCCCAGCCCAGATTTATCTGGGGACCAAAGGAGCAGGTGAAAGCAGGGGTAGCAGTGCCGGCCCAAGGTGGCATCACCTGACCTGGCAAAATGAGCCAATAGACTGCAGAAGCCACAAGCACACACCTAATGATGGCAGGGATGGGAGAAGAAGGGGGACACAGCCATCGCCATGGGGACAGCCCAGGTGCGCCATCAGGGGAACCATCCCCTGAACTATTTCAGGTGACTGAAAGGAAAAGGTCAGGCAAGGGCAGGAGCTCTGGCACGTGCAGCCTGCGGCTGCCCCATCCTGCTTGTACCTTGCCCCCAGCCAGCTTCCCCACCTGCCCTTTCCCACCCATACAGAGGACGCCGCTGCCATCCCTTTGCTTGGCGAGCACCATAGGTGCTTTGTCCAGCCCATCCACCTCTGCTCAAGAGCTTAAGGGCTCCTCTGGTTGCCGTTGCCAAGGCACTTCTCTGTCCTTGACCTTCTGCAGACTGGGTACTGCAGCACCATGGGGAGCATCCTCAGGCAGAGTTAAAAGTGTTACTTTTAGCCCTCTCCCCCTCCGGCGAGGTGAGGCCATGCAGACAGCCCTGCCCTCCTCAGCTGGGCTGCAGGGTCCGCACGGCAGGGCCGTGGCACGGGAGATGCTCCGGGGAACCGTGTTCTTGTGTGGTCCCTGGCATCGTCCGTGCCATGGTGCCTGCCCGGCCGGACACAGCAGGGCTCTGGAAGCTGCAGGCACAGAGGCGAGGGTGGGCTAAGGACAGGGGTGGCCCAGGGAGGCTGGCTGTCAGGGGCACGGGTGGCACAGGGCTGTCAGTAGAAGGCGGCTGGAACGGCGGGGCCGGTGGAACAGGGCCACGAGCTGTAGAACGCGGCGACTGCCGAGGTCCCTGGGCGCGGCTCCCGCAGCGCGTGCCGGGCCGGTGGCCGTTGCAGAAGAGACCGAGAGCGATGGCGCTGCCGGGCCGGTGGCGCTGCCCTCGGCGCTGGCCGTCGGCGCTGCCAGTGGCGCTGTTGGTGGCGGTCACCAGCCTGCTGCAGGGATCGCTGCTGGGAGCGGCGCTGGGCTTGGGGGGTGCCTGGTGGGCGCTGCGGTCCCGCCCGCCCGCCAGGCGCCTTCTGCCCCTGCGCTCTCCCCCACGGTGGCTGCCCCCCAGGCCCTGTCCCCCACTGCGGCTGCCCCCGTACAGGCCCAGAGCCAGCCTGATCGCCCGCTTCCCAACCGCCTGGGACGTGATGGCTTGGCGCCTGCGGAGGAAAATGGCCACTACCAGCGGGCCGGCCACTGTGATCGGCCGACGTGTGAGCACATCGACCCGCGGCAACTGCCTTGGGTGAGCGAGGGAGTAGGATGTGTGTGGGATAAGGACACGGGTGGCCCAGGGAAACGGGAGGGATGAGGACACGGGTGGCAGTAGGACACTCCTTGTCAGGGGCACAGGGACCCTGGGTGTCAGGGATGAAGGTGGCAGAGGGACACAGTGGGATAGAGAGACAGGTGGCACAGGGACATAGGTTGTGAGGGCCGCAGGTGGCACAGGGCACGGGTGAGATAAGGACACGGGTGGCCTAGCGATGGCCATGCTGCTGCCCTTGGCGCTGCCCTGCGTGGTGCTGCAGGGATCGCTGCTGGGAGCAGGGGTCCTGGTGTGCAGTGTGACCCTACCAGCCCGCATCGCTCCTGTCTTCGTGTGGCCCGCGCGGCAAAACGGCCTCTACAGTGGCCCAACCGCAGTCACCATCCGCGCTGAGAGAACCCGTCCCGCTGCTACTGCTTCTGGTGAGCTTGGGAGGAGGATGGGATCGGATCTTCCTGCCGCTAACAGTGCTGTGACCGTTGTGCCCCAGCAGAGATCCACCGCACCCGCTGCGCCACCGGCACCCGCTGCGCCACCGGCACCCGCTGCCACAGGACCGGAGCCCTGAGGCCATTTTCGCCCCGGTACGCCAGGACAGTCAGATGCCCAGGGGCTCCCCATGGGCCCAACGCCCAGCACCGCTCCGCAGCCCACGGCCCAGCGCAGAGCTCTTTTCCTGTCCCCACTTTGCCCTGGCCAGTCTGCAGGGGGGACACATCCAGGGGAAAGGAAAGGACAAAATCTCTTTGCTGTGCTGGCACCTTTTCAGCTGGAGGCAGCAGCACGTGTGGGAGCCCTGTGTTCCCACTTTGACACGGGTCTCCTCAGCACCTGCTGAGCTGTACTAAAACACTGCTCACATCCTGGGCTGGGTTTGCAGATGTGAGATGGGATGTAGTCGTGGCTAATGGAGCTCTGCAGCTGTGCAGGGAAAGGTTTTACCCAGGGTGGGTCAGTAGGGAAGGGTTTGCTCAGAGCCTGGAGGACGCTTGCTCCCAGAGTGAATTCAGTTTGGGGTGCTCAGACTTTGCCCTCCATGGACATTGTGGAGGGGTGTTGAGCAGCGTTGAAGCAAGAGAGGTTCCGGGCTCGGCAGCCAGCACCAGGGAGATGGGATTTACTCTGTCGTGAGCAGGAGAAAGGCAGGCTGTGCTCCCCTGAACCAAATTAGTTACTCCTGGTCTCTTTCCACATCCCAATAGGAGAGGATGTGTGTGAGGGAGACCCTGGAGTCCGGCGCTGGATCCTACCAGGAGGTGCCACATCGGACAGGAAGGTAAGGTACCGCTCAGCCAGCCAGTGCCTGCTTGTCAGTGCCAGCCAGGAAGAAAGCAGTCACCTTCCCAGCTGAGCCGGTGCCCAAGGCCTGCTCTCCACCAGAGCTAGGCTATTCCAGGCCCGTGAGACATGGCTGCTGGGTCAGCCCCTTTGTTGTGTCCATCAGCATCCCCGCTGCCTCGTTCCACTGCCGTGCTGGCGGCAGCGCTGAGCGGCACCATCCCCGCCCTGCCCCAGGCCGGGTTGGAGTTTGAAGGGCTCAGACAGCTGCAGCGGTGACGTTGCCGTGTGGCACTGGCGTGTCCTGTCCCAGCCTGGCACTGACCCTAACTGGCTCTCTCCCACTCGCACAGGGAACAGGAATCGCGGCGACGGCAAGAGAGCACTCCGAGGACAGCGAACAAGGCCGTGCAGACCGAGGAAGGTGAGTGTAGGTGGGGCCCAGCTCTGTGCCGGATTGGATGGGCCACCGGTGCGGGCCTGCTCCGATGCCAGGCGGAGCTCATGCCAACACTTCCTCAGCTGAAAGAGAGAGGAAACCCCGCGTGCCCATTGCGGAGAGGGCCCCGTGGCACAGCGCGAGATGTGGCCACGTGCTGCACCTTGTGTGGTTTGTGGTTCGGGAGGGCAGCGTGCAAGGAGCATGCGTGGTGGTGGGAAGGGGCCGCTGGCCCGTGGAGCCCCAGCAGGCTCTTGTGAGAGCTTCCCCACGGATCTCTTGTGGCCAAGCTGCTGTCCCAGGGCATCGCAGCCCTGTCCTCAGCTTAAGGCCGTGTCCCTGGCTCTGCCCTCCGGGATGGGCATCCAGAGAGCAGTGAGAAGGGACAACCCCCTTGGTGCAGGCTGAACGCCTCTGCTGGGAGCTGCTCCTGACTTGTCTCCTCCTGTAGCTGTCGAGAGGCCTGAGGAAGAGCGGCAGCAGTCCCCGAGCCCACCACCTTCGCTGGGGAAAGGAAGGCCACGCAGGAGGAGCATCTGCCTGCTGGTGCCTGGCGAGATCCACCCACTGGTGCTGGTACGTCGCTGTCTCGCAGCCTCTTTTGCCCTCCTCTGGGCTAGAATGTGCTCAGTGCAGTTCCTGCAGGGCTGGGGGCAGGCTGACGTGCCTGCCTTGGGGCAGGAGGTCTCGGCCTTGGCTGGGTGGGAAGCAAGGCTCTCCCCTGCCCCAGTGCGTGGCGACCGTGCGTGACTGCTGCCGCTGATGGAGCAGGTACTGGCCTGGGCAAGGTTGCCGTGGCCTCAGCCCCAAGCCGATGCCAAACTGAATGGGGTCCAGAGCTCTGCGCTGGCTGTGGCAGAACCACGGCTTCATGGCTCTGGCGCAGGCCTGCTTCCACACCTCCTTCAGAGCGGCTCTGCCGGCTGCCCTGGGAAGGAACTAAGCTACTGCTCTCTCTTGGCAGTTCCCGGAGCTGAACCCACATTACTCCAGCACCGAGATGACCCTGGAGGAGGAGGGGGAGGCAGCGTGGCAGCTGTCTCGATGCCTCTTGGGAGCTATGGCTGGTAAGGGCAGAAGGGCACGGCAAGGGCGGGGAAAGCCACGGCCTGGGCTGGCAGGGCAGGGGGAAGCTGCTGGGCCAGTGCCGCCTGGTCCTCGGCTCTGATGCTCTTAAGAGACTCGTGAAGAGCCCGGAGGGAGACCTCGTGTCCTGCAGTCCCCAGGGTGATGGGCGAGGTTGCCCAGGGCCTGAGCTGCCAGCTGTTCATGCTGGGAGGGTTTCATAAGGGGTAGTCCCATGCGGCAGAGCCTTGCCGTGCAAAGGGAAGGTGCTTCTGTCACTCGCTGCCCCAGTCCCCAGCCCTGGGGGGTGGAGGGGAATCTGAAATGCCGCTCCTTGCCCTCTCTGGATGCACTGGACGCATCGGCTCCTGCGGGTGCTGCCAGCTCCCTAAAGCCAGGCTCTTCCTGCTCTGCCGACCCCGGCTCACAGCGGGGTGTTGCTTTCCAGGGACTCCTGCGCCCTTCTCTGGCCAGCGCCCCTCAGGCCTTGGACGAGACGCCGCTTCCTCTGGTAAGGACGGAGTTGGTGCTTCAGGCTTGAGGAGCTGATGGGTCGTGTTGTTCCCTTGGACTGGGGGATGGCGGAAGGGTCAGGCTGTGCCCTAGGAGACAGCCCGGGTGGTAGCTACTGGGCTCCAGGGATGCAAAACCTTCCATTCCCCCAGGGATAGGGATGGTGGTAGGCCCGGTGCCAGCCCAGAGTGTGGCTGCAGAGACCTGAGCAACATTTGTGCTTCTCTAGGTTCGTCCACCCACGCAAGATGGAAGGACAGAGCCTGCAAGCAGCACAAGGCATGGATCCATCATTTCTGCAATAAGTAACGGCCAGTGCTGCTGGCCCCCAGCCGTGGGGGCTCT